GCACATTTGTGTGAATACATCACACAGAGAGGTGGGAATGATCATTGCCTGTCCCCGTCACCCTGCCTGGGGCATCCTCCAGCCCCAGCCCCATTTCAGCCCAGCCTGGGGCTGTCTGCCCCTGTCCCATGATGCCGCATCGGTGCTGGCTCCAGCCCCACCATGGCCCAGCCCTGACCCTCTGGGAGCCCCCCAACACCAGTCCTGGGAGCTGCCGGTCTCATGGTGCCCTGACAGTTTTACCTCTGATGTCTTGCATTTTCTGCAAACTTTCACAGAGAAAATATTGCCAATGATAAGGTCTCTGCTCTAAGTGTTGTATCTGAGTCACCATATGCATGTAGTCACATTGGAACTATAGGAACCTGATTTTCAGCTTTTCAGATGAATTACAAAATGTTGGTGCTTACATTTGTGGAGAGCTTTTCATAGTGGACTGGTACAAAAAAACAAAAAAAAAACCCTGACATCTTTTGGCACTTCATATTTGTCTTTCTGTCGGGCTTACCATGCTGCCTTACATCCAGGGCTACACCAGTCTGATTTTCCTAAAATGTCAGATTCTCCCCTCTTCACACCAATATCACACAATTCCTCATATGTTCAACTAGATGTTGATTTCCTCAGCTGTAAATAACAGTCCCAAAGGAATCACTTGATAAGCATTGTATTGTGAAACTGCTATTCTATTAAAAACCTCTGTTCTCGCAGCTGTCAGAGAATGAGTTTCCTGTCAGTTTTTTACAGGAGTCACCTATTACAAAGCACCTTCAGGTCTACAGGCAGCATTTGAAGTGTGCCCCATTGACCAGCGGCAGCAAAAAGATTGTCTCTGCAAATAAACTAAATGTCAACCTCTCTTCCAGCATACAGTTTCTGGGAAAGAAGCAAACCTAATTGTTTTGCCCTACAAAAGCAAAAAACTTTTTATTTTCCTCCTCTCAACTTGGAGTAACCTGTTCCCACCTAGGCACTGGGCGTTACATGAGCACTTCAGATCCCCAGGGCTCCAGAGTGACGTTGCTTAATTTCATCTACTTATGGCACTGACCTTGTCATCCCATAGTATAACCCAGAGCAGCATCAGTGTCTTGAAGGTGCTCTAAAGAAATGAGGCCATGTACTATTGTGTTATCTGCTGACTGCTTCCGTTGGCTATGCAGGCAGATGTGGGCACAGCTGACTGTGAAATTAGTTGGGATGGGGAAATGTGAGAGAATCATGAAAAAGGTTAAAAAAAACCCTGCATGCAGAAACATGCACACCAAACAACATTTTGGTCATAGATTTAAAGACTTGTATCCTGTCCCAGCATCCTCTTACTTATTATAGTAACTCCTCAGTAATAACTCCTAACTTTGGGGACGGAGAGTTATCTGATTATGTTCATGTAAAATATCTAGTACCCTGCCTATGCTATATAAATAATACATAATATTACTTATGATATGGTAATAGTATTCACAACTTCCACAATTGTCATTTTCATCCCAGGCAAATAGACAGATAGAAGCCTCACCCTTTCTAAATGAGAAATACATAGAAAATAAAAAGCATAAACACAAAGCAAAAGAAAAAGTACCCTCATTCCCAACCTATCTGAATCTCAGACCCACGACCTGTGTGCAACTTCTGTTTCAGGCTGAGGGTTAGGATGTAAAATGAATGGGACCAAAATTCTGCCTAGGCGTGCCTGAACGTAAGAGTTCCTAAAAGCTGCCAACTCAAATTAAAGGGGAGAAATACTGTGCCAGCAAAGGTAAAACTACTAGGTCAGTGCTATTTATACTGTCAGCTTAGGCCGTCTTCCAGATGGGGTGTATATAATAGTTGTAACAAAGATTATTATTGCAGGTTAATTGCATAACTACAAGTGTATACAGTTGTTTAAATGACATTGCTGTGAACATAGATCTGCTTGCCCACTGTCACTGTGTTTTAATATGCCTCCTTGCAGCATGAGTTACGATTAATGAATTTCTAGGTGAATGAATTACAATATTGTGATTAAATGTAATACATTAAAATGTCTCTACTGGCATCTCTGTATTAGAGAGGAATTATGCTGACTCTTTAATCTTCGCTTGTATGAGGGCTTCTAAAATATATTTTAGCAACTGCATATGTGATAGTTCTGGAAAACTTGAGGGGGTGCTTTCAAATAAAACTTGTCTTTAAAACACACAACTACCCAGTTAATTCATTGGGAAGAAGCTATACCACTCTTTCAGAGCTTCTAAACCATGACTTTCGGCACGAGTACATTCTGCCACCAGGGACTTCAGCAGAACTTTTTCTGTTTGCTTTATTTTAGTCATATCTTGGTCTATTAAAACAATCCCACATTATAACCCCAATTCAACAAAGTGCTTGAGCACTGTGCATCTCCACTGCTGTCGGGTACTTAAAGTTTTGCCTAGGCTCATTTTGCTCAAGGGAGCAGAGAGTTTATGATCATCTCTACTATGTTGAGAAAATGCCTTCTGCTAGGGGGCTTACCACTAAGTCTGGCAACAAATTTAACTTAACTCAGTCGCATTTAAAAAGGAAACGATTGACTATAGACAATACATTAAAGAATTACATTCTTTTAGCTACTTAATATTTTTACATAGGAAAGAGAGTTTAATTTTCTCTGGAGCCTTGAAGGTTTTTTTGTATCACTGTTTTAATGAAAGATTATCATTCTCCTTATTTTCTGACTTAAAATATTTAAAAGAAACATATACATGCTAATTTTTCTAATGCTTTTTCTTCCTATGCAATCATAAGAACATGAATGGCATTTTCCCTTTGATTTTTGTTTTGTTTGTGTTTTATTTTAGCGCATACAGGCCACATAACACCAAAAGCACAAAATAATTATTCCAGCCCAAGGATACCGACTGAAGACTAACAAAGAAATTATTCTGTTATCAAAAGATTTATATTTCAAAGAATGGTGCGCTGTGTTACAAGTACAGCTGGTGGAGTACAATCTCTTTAAATATTGCATTCTAGTCTTAAAAGTCAAAAAGGTGCAACCCCCCTGCAAGATATTGACGAAAAACTCCACTAAATTGTTTGTGCCACCTTCAATTCCCTGAACAGTAGCCCTTTAATATTTTTTCTAATAGGAATCATAGATCCAGGCTGTAGCATACTAATGAGTCTAAGCCTACCAATTACATTTTGCTCTCCATTTCAGATTAAATGACTCTCTATCTAGGCGCTCATGCAGCCCATTCCCTCCCCCTCCCCACGGTATCCTGGTTTTCAAAAATAGAAATAATAACAATAATAATGTACTGTATCTTCCCAGTTAGCTACAACTCTATATGCTTTGTTAGGCTAATGATAAAGAAAATGCCTGAATCTCGATGTTATGGTAGCTGCTTCATGAGGATAATCAACTTGCCATGCATCTCTGCCGCTTTCCACAGCAGAACAGAGAGATAGAGAAGGCTTTAAGGAGTCAGAAACAGCAAAGTGTATATAGAAAAGAAAAAATGTCCGAAAATGAAACAAAAGAAGAAAGCGGAGGGGTAAAAATAGCAGAACTGCTTAGGAATTTTCCACTTCTTTCTTTTCCACTGGAAAAGACTTTTTTTCCACAAAATCTTTCCAGTGTTTTCTATTTGAAGAAGGGTCTCGCCATAAAAAAGAAAGCAGACCTGATAGGAACCTTCAGGTGGGCTGCCTCCACCTCCGTGCCCACACTGTCCTTCCCTTTGCAGCTCTCCCATGCCCTTTCTCCCCGCTGCCAAATCCAGAAGAGCAGGGATAGCTGCTGTCTGGCCTCCACTCATGCGAGCTCCCAGAAAAGCAAAAGTTTAAGGGCCCTCAGCTTCCAGCAACACGCAGGAATGTCACTCTTGATCTCACCACCTGCCTGCCAGATGCTGGCACACACCCAACCGTACAAAAATATTGCACCTCCTTTGAGCTCACGCCTTGCAGGTCTGCAAAATGAAGGACGTCGAACTAGACCCACACCTCTCATTATGATCTGCCTTTCACGTCTGAATGCCCGTCCCCCACCTTTGCCGTCAAAATTGTGCTCAGTATTTTTATCAGTTGTGCCAAAAGCATAACTGGACCAACCTGTGGCTTCCAAAATGGTAACACAGACTTTGCTATCAATGGAAAAATATTCTACATACGCACACACACACGCACACACACGGGTCCTAGCCTGTAGGATTCACAACGGATGGCAGATTAAGAGAGGGAGAGTGAGCATGCAACTATGGGCTATTTTTATAAGAACAGGAGGCTAGGTTTATGTAGAATAACATAGTAACAAAGGTTTCCTAGAGACTTGTAGGAGATGGTTATAGTATTCCAGACAAACTTGAAATTCACATGCAGCCAGGAATAGCATGGGCAGGATTAGGGCAGGACTGCAGATAGACAGGTTGCATAAGATCAGAGAGAGGCCAGGGCATCTCAACACACATATCTTCACACACACCATTGCCTTCTCATACCTTTAGGCCCTGGCTGGCAGGAAAAAGATGGCAGGCTTTAAAGTGATATTTCTCACAAGTGATACTTCTGACAATGAGTTGGCGTCATGCCTGAAGAGTAGATGTAGCAGCCCTCAAACTGGCTGAAATTAATGAAGGAGGGTAGATGACTTGTGCCATAAAGCCATTCCTGGATTGCTCCATGATGATGAGGAAAGGTAATAAACTTGCTGCCAAAACCACATGTATCTCATATTGTCCTGAGCCCCTGAAACTATGGAATACTCTATTTCTCATCTCCCTTCCAAGGCTGAAGATATGTCCCCTAACTCTTTGCAGCTGTTGTACAAACCTGCTCTCTCCTAGCGCTGGTTGGGCAGAAAGGGCCAGGTACCTAATTTTATCCACATCTAACTTTCATGTGGCTTGTCCATTTAGTGGGATACTGGGCCACCTAGCACAGCAGTGACAACTCTGATTACCTTCTCTGTTGTAACTCCAGAATGAGAGCAGAATTCACCCGACTGTCATACGGGGCCGGCACATGCTTACCTTATTGAAATCAGTGGCAAAACTCCACATGTGGGCACCACAGGTATGCTTCAGAGGAATCATTGCCAGGTTACAAGTCACTAAATGAGTCCCACTGGTTTTGTATCAAGCATATGCACTGTAAGAGAACGGATAAATGAATTAACGCATACTGAGGTTGTTAATTTTGCCTTGTAGGCACAACCGGAAAAAAAAAAAGTAAAAATTGCAGGTATTCTCTCTGTTCCTTCAGAGCTCAACCTCATAAACAGCTGAACTGGCACAGCCATAGAGGCAGAAGACCTCACAAAGGAGGGGAAGGAATGGCAGACTCAGTGGTTTGCAGTGGGAGTTTTCTAGGACAGATTGACAGCTGCTGGAGGATATTTCTCCCTCTTTGAGCAGACCCTCTTTGATGGACCTTCTCCATCCACCTTGTTCATTCTCTCCTCCCTCTGGGGTGCCAAGTGCTGAAAAAGGTATTTTAAGACCTACGGGGGCAAGATCAAGAGGCCTTGTAAAGAATGTGCAAAAGGAAAAAGGATTACTGTTTGTGAAAATGGCCATTGACAAACAGGTCCCCATCTAACAGCCCTAATCTGGACTTAGCTGAACAACACTGTTGAACAAAGAGTCCTTGGGGCGGGGGTGGGTTGGTTTTGGTTACAAATGCAAAGAGACATGATGGCCCATTTTAGCTTAGCCTTTCACTTCGAAGGGACTCAGATTTCACCCAATGAGTCTGTTTAGTTGGAATTTACCATACTCAGATACTTTTTGCATTTCATTCCCTTCAGATCTTTCACTCTCGGCTTCCAGTCGGGAACACAGCATGGCCTGCAGCCTTCAACTTGGATACCTCTACCACAGAAACAATTTTACTGTCAGGTAAAGTCTTACTCAGCTGCATCAATAATCTGTCTAAAAGAGGAGACATTTGCCAAGAAAGGTTAATTGACAATCAGAGGGCCTGACTTACATGGAAAAATGAGAAACCTAAATTTGACTAGGGTGGCTGAACAGCAAGTATGAGTGTGTGGATACACGAACCATCCAGAGGTATCAGAAATACCTGAACACTAAGGTCGGAAAGGTGTTGATTAAAGTGGTATCAGAGGTAAAAGTAAGAGCAATAGGAGGATTGTCTTTTAAGAAATGATGTATTCACAGCTAAATACAAAACTAAGCTTTGACAATGGAACTGGCATATTGTAGAAGAGTTTTTCACAGTAAGCCATTAAGCCCTCTCTCCTGAGACCTTAAGCCTAGATTCAGAAAGTACCCTATAAGGCAGGGACAAAGCTGTCACAGCCTCTAGTATGGAAAAGATGACCCAATATATCTTTTTCTTCCATAATTTCCATAATTCTATGAGCTTTCATATTTTGAAAATAAAATTTATTTCTGTTCATCTGGTGCTGCCACTACCTGTTGCCTTGTGAAAGTGGAAACCTCTGCCCAAAAAGTTTCAGCTGCCTTTTATTGCAGTCTTTCGTCACTGTCACATCATAGTCTTCAGGCTATCTGCAACAGAAAAATTTGTTTAGGCAGTAAGATTAATAACAGGTTTATTTGAAGTGGTAAAAATGCAATCGGATGCATGATTTTTAGCCTCTAGCTGTTAATGCAGCATCTTATACACCTCGGCACTCTTTGCCTGTGAAAAATAAGAATGCTGTTTCTGCTGATATTAGAAACACAGCCTGTTGACAATGCTCCACTTTGAGTAGACAAGTAATTGTTGACCGCTTGCTATTAATAAACAAAGAAACCCTGACTCTGAGTATAGCACTGTTTTCCAGAAGGATATTTTTTCTAGTTTACCGAAACTACCATATTTTCTTTAGCGCTCTAAAGTGCAGTGTCTCATTTTTGAATTGAATTGAGGTTGGAATGGAGTAGAACGGTAAATGAAACAGTGGGAATGGAAAGGAATTCTTTGTTAAAAATGGAATGATTGAAGTTAAATATACCAAAAAAGCTTTCTGTAGAAGAAAACATTACTCTATTTGTAGCAAGTAGTTTATTTTCCCTCAGCGCTTACCTTGAACCACTCACAAGAGAAGAGAAATCAGAATTTCAGCAGGACTCAGTATAGCCAGAAAGGAGACACAATGGAGAGCTGGACAAAAAACTGTAAATAAATTCCGTGAAAATTGTATTTTTTTTCCTAATGACAAGAAATCTTCATTCTGTCCATTTACTTGTTCTTTTTTATTGTGTCCTAAGTAGTTAGTCCCCATTTCACAGAGTGGAATGTGTTCTGTTGGGAAATAATTGCTCAGCTAGGGGTGAAGAAGGGGGATATTTTATTACACATCTTGGAGAAGAAGGTGTGTTTGGATCATTAAGCCGTTCTTTTCTCTCTGGATAAAATCAGATCAGAGGACACTGGAGACATGACAACAAGGGGAGCATGAACATAGATGGATATATACCCAGATAAGATGGGTAGACAGGTATGACAGATGCTGATAACAGGGTTTTAATATATGGGGTAGCAGACATTACAAAACCTACAACCTTCCTACGGCCAGATGTGGACAGAACGTCTTTCTGGAATGTTACATTTAATGTTAAGAATTCTGTAAAAGCATTGAGGGTGATCTGATGCATATGATTTATAGTAACTATAAAGAAGCCACCAACCTACAAATAGAAAAATAGAAAGGCTCTGAGAAGCAGAAAATCATGGGACAACAGAAATACTTTGAAAAATAGTATCCTCAAGTAATATAGACACTTTCTCACAGATCTCTCCAGAGCAGAAACTTCTTACTGAAATAAACAGCAATCTTGTATCTAGTCCCTGTAACTGATTACATCATGTGCTATATTTAGAATACCTCCAGTGTAACCATGGAAACTGCTTTTTCTTAAACTCGCATTATTCCATTCAATATTAGTTGACACTATAGAAATACTTTGGGAAGCTCACAAAACAATTAATGTTACACTATTATAATGTGCCTGTAGATACAGCAGCATGTTTTTTGTCTTTTCTTAAAGTATGTATTGTGCATACCCAGGGATGCCAGATTTCGGACAAAGACTACAAAGAGCCACACGCATAGCAGTGGAGTGAGCATACAAGACTATAGGAGAATGCAGAGTACATCTTCTGTACTTTGCTTTTAGCCCAACTGCTAAACGAAAGGGCTCATGCTGTCACACTGCACACCCATGTCTCTGCATCTGTTTCTGCCGTCCCCCCATAATTTTTGCACCCAGTTTCAACCAAATTTGACAAAGACAAGAGGAGCTTAGAGGATTTTAGGCTCCTACAAGCTGTGCAAAAATAAACAGCTAAGCAGAACAAGAAAATCTTACCAGTGATTCCTCTGAGAGACTAGGAAGTCCAAGCCTTATTAGACATAGGAGAATCTACAAAAAAAAAGACGCTAGGAAACCAGGTTGTATGAATTCTGCAAGTCAGGGAGCTACTTACAATGCCAAAAATAATACTAGATGCCAGATGAAAACTACAGACATAAATTGCATTGCAAAGGTGCAAAAATGAAACTTTTCTTCTGTTTCATTATAAAAGTGCAGCTTTGCAAAATCATAAAAAATCCCAAATCGGAATCATAACTTCAAAATATATTTCCAAATTCTTAGAAAGAAATTCAGAAGAACACTTCCAAGCATAAGAGATCTTAGACTCAGACATCCAAACTGGGGGAAAGAAGCCACAATCATTTCAATATAAAATTGCTTCAAAGTTATGGAAGGGGTTATCTGACATTAAAAGGTAGGCTTAGTATTAGGAACAAAAGGTTTGTGATACAAAGTAAGCACAAATGGACAGTTTCACAGAGCAGGAATTTTACCATGAGTCCCAAATGTATCTGTGATGTTCAGACTGAGCTGTAAATGCAAACAAGGTGACCACATTTGCAGACTAAATTGCAGAAGGATCTGATGAAATTATGTGGCTGGGTGATAAGATGGCAAATGAAATTCAGCAGCAATAAATATGAAGCAGTGTATGTGTGGGGAAAATAACCCAAACTACACACGCACAGGGATGAGCTCTAACTTAGCAATTATTTCTCAGAAAGAGATGCTGGATTGTAGTCACCTCAGCAATGTGATGGGTAAAAAAGGCAAATCAGATATTCAGAGTTATTGGAAAAGAGAATCAGAACAAAATAGAAAAGACCTTATGCCACTTCAATATACAATTCAGAGTGCGGACATATATTGCGGACTTTGTGCGACTTTAGTCACCTCATTTCAGAATGAACGCAAGAGAATTGGCTAACATGAAGAGAAAGGGGAGAACAGTGAGCAGAGCTGTGCCATCCTTTCAAGGAGAGAAAAATAGATTTGAATTCCTCATCCTGGAAAATAGCTGGCTGAGGGGTGGCAAGATTAAAGCCTGTAGAGTCATGGGTTGTAGGGAGGAGACGAAGGGGGAGTGACCTCTTTCACACTGGGGAGAGGATGAAATGGGAAGAAGGAAAATGGCCTTGAGCCCAGCTTCCACTTTATGTGACAGTCCTGCTCGTGGTGCAGCTTTTGCGTTTGTTCCCAATCCTGTATCCTTATTCTCGGTGGTGTTGGCCAAGAAGCCATGATGGATAACAGGCTACAGCACTTTATATCACCCAATAAAGAGACTGCAGGAAAGCAGAGGAATCATTAAAGAAACTGGGAAGAGAAGTTCCTAGTAACTACGTATCTAAATGAGTAAAATACCAGCAACACTTACCAAAGACATTACTTTTGCTCCACTAAAAATGTAATGGGTAGCATGCTGTCGCTAGCAGCATCCCAATTCTGCAATAGCATCACATCAAGACCAGCTGGATACTTCAAATGAGTGGCACAGCACTTAACTTTGAAAAGACTATATAACTGTCCAGCGTTTTCAGCTGTTCCTCAATAACAGTGGCGATGTCTTGTCCTTGGCTACACCTGCAGTGGACAAGCTGTGGAATAAGAGCAGATTCGTAGAATGAAACATTTGACGTGGAGGAGCTGATGTCTTTGGCACATGGTCTGGGGAAACAGAGGTGCTTCAGACTTGCCCTAGCTCAGCTCCAAGGCCTGAACATGCCAGATGCCCTCCTGCCCTCCCTGCGCTGCAGCAGCAGCTGCACGGTGGGCTGGCCTGGCACCGCGCTTTGCAGAGCCAGGTTGTAAAACAGGTCACTGAAATGATCCAGGTTAACAATAACTAGGCAGAAAAGTCTACTCAAAATACAGCTCTGCTGCAGATGATGGCCAGCTGCTTGTGAGCTGCCAGATGGGTTTTGCTCGCCTGATTTCTGCAGGAAAGCAGTCAAATGGAGTTTGCATGCAGTGGCCGAGCAAAGGAGGGCAAAATGAGACGGTAACAACAGCCACTGGCTCTAGGACCAGAAAGTCCCCACAGTGACCAGAAAGAGATATCTAAAAGTCAATCCCTACAATGTTGAATATCAGGGTGTCTCACACACCATGGGTGAGGGAATGAGTCCTTCCTTCACAGAGGAAGTCTGCAACCCCTTCATAGTGGCAGACCACCAGCTACATATTGCACAAGCATCTGTGCTGGACACACAAAAACCATTTCATGGTGAGAAAAATTATTGCTCACATGTAGTAGCTTGATTTTCAAACAACACAACACTCATCTTTGATGTTTTTTAGCAAACTTTCTTCAAAGCACCAGTCCCTGTTCCATCTTGACAGTCTCAAAGCTGCTGGCTTAAAAAACCACCTTTCAAAAAATGTTATAATTGTTTCATGGTACATCCACCTGTACCAGTGGAATTCTTTAACAGAAAAATCAGAATGTTACCAACATCCAGAAACTAATTAGGAAGGAAAAGTACATTTCAAACTGCAAATAGTCTTTTCTGTGCTCTCAGAGCATTACAAATTGAATGACAACCTGATTTTCAACCCCTGCCCCCTCCCCCTTCTGCAATGTTAAAAATGTGACTGGAAAATAATATATCACCAACCTGAAACCTTGTTTTACAAATACAAGTTTTAGCCTGAGGCAGCAGTTTCAAGCAGTCAGGTAGGAAACCTTGAAAATAGGGGCTGGAGTGTCCTATTGGAGTGGAAAGGCATCGTTAACCAACGCATTGTCTACATGTTGCTGTTTAATGGCATCTTATTGCCACTAATGGAGTGGAGGTGATTTCAGATCTACATTAATTTGCTAAGCTAAGTCATTAGACACCTCCAAGTCATTTGCATCTTGCTCTAATCCTTCAGAGTAACGCAGGCAGTTCCATAGCCCCACATAATATGTACCAGCTGAATGGGTTCCAATTTATCAAGAAACTATAAATTGCAAAACACCAAGCTGAAACTGCAGTAACAAACCCAGTGATCACTGTCCCATACATTTTAGACTGTTATTTAAGGCCTCCTGGGAGATCAATCCTGTATAACCTATTTCTCAGGATTTCTGTCAGCTATATGAACTCTTTCCAACTGTTTTCACTAATATATTATGACTTGTTTATGATACTGAAGAATAAGCGATGGCATCAGCACGGTCACGGTGGAATAGGAAATGATGTGGAAATTGTCTGGAAAGGGTATCATTTTTTTCCTGCCTCTATGTGCATATAGTGAAGAGCAATGCCATTACTAGCTTATCCCACAGGCCTCCCGTTTAGGTCCCTCAGATGCCTCTTCTTCCTTAGAAATATACTATCCGGGATGCTGATGCAATTTTGGTTGCTTCCTAAAAAAAAAATCACAGAGGTTCTTTTCTGTTTAATCACATTTAAGATTTAACTTTAAAATTAAACTTAGAAGTTACCAGCAAGATCTCTCAGAGAAATTTCAAATGGCATTTGTGGATTTCTTCCTAGATTATGCAGCCATCAGGTAAAACAACACCCCATTTGTCAGGAGCTGGTACAACAGCACATTTTGACCTGCTCTGCTCCCTTGCCTACTTCCCGGTTTTGCCTATGGCTTCCTGGAAATAGAAGGCCGCATCCATTTGGAGGAGCCTCCCTGCTCTGACTACCACAGACACGATGGATCCAATAGGTTCTTTTTGGGGAAGTAACACATCAAGTTCCCACTGAACAGGGAATTTCCTAGTTATACCTCTGTTACTTTTCCAAATTACTGCTATACTTCCTATACTTCCTCAACCAGCGCTTCTCAGCCAGTAAGCCAAGCCTCACCAGCAAGGCACCAGAGAGAGTAAGCAAGGGGCAAAGCTGGTCACCCTCCCTTCCATGGGAGCTGCCTATGGTGAGGAGGCTCAGAAAGCAGTGACGGCTAGAAAGATTGAGGACGGCAGCTCTGGCCACTCTGGTGACAAAATGTCATGCTCCTTCCTTCTGATCATTCTCAAAGCCAAGACCCCTCTGCATGTTTTTAATGGCTCTGCATCCCATGCGTATGAGTTCATATCTACATACGCAACCCACAGTGTGACCAGCACCCCAGCAGCCCCCTTTCAGTCTTACCGCAGACAGAATCATGTCCCCCGGAAGACTGCCGTGTGCAAACTGTTTTCAACATATTTTGTGACAAATTTCCCCAAAGGCTCGTGCTTTCAGTACAATTATTTCCATTTTACAGAGAACATAACTGCAGCTGAGAGCTTATCTGATTTCGTCAATGATTTGTCGCGTGAACCGTAGATTTAGCTCAGGAATACATTTAAGTATATACTTAAGTCCATTTGCATTGCTTTCTAAGACTACACTCTTAAAGACTTATTTTAAACTCCTCTTTAAATCCTATTGATTAAAGTGCATGCCGATATAGCTTTCTGAATAAGAAAGTGTCTCTGAATTGGAGTTTCATGTATGACATGGAGGACTCTAAAAAATAAAATGCTGTTCACTGCAGGCACCTGACAGAGCAGAGAAATATGTCAGGGGCTTTCACGCTTTATGTCAAGCACGATCAGATTCATTTTGGGGCTGTCTTCTGAGCAGAGAACCTACCAGCAGATTGAAACTGTAATACATAAAATAAGAGAAATAAACACAATGGTCTTATCAGATAATCAGGATGCAGTGTGTTTCTGATGCTTTTTCTCTTTTTTTCCCTCTGACTAAAGGTCTACTAGTTTTCCACAGAGCATTAAAGAAGAATAAAACTATTTGCCTACTAATGGAAAGCTTAATTTCCCGTTGTTTTTAATGCCAAAGCATACCCAGCAACATTTCTACAAGGTAGTGAGTTTTGCAATCAATATGTGCTTCTGTGACAAGGTGTTTTAAGAGCTTATGCTCGAGTGTCATTTCCCAAGCAACTCTTCTCCCCCCTCTTCCTTCCCTCCCCCTGCACAATGATTTGCAGGATGCAGCCAGCATAAGATACTTGTAATGACATCACCTTATTTCATACACACAGATATATAGATCTCTCACAGCAAAATACTGAACAGTGAATTGAAATATAAGCCATAATGAGAAGAGTTAAATTGTA